AATAGAATAAAGCAGTCAGAGCTTTCAACTAGCTTTTTTAAAAGACAAAAGCTGCTGGGTATATAAGGGTATATAAATGAAGACTTCAAGTAAAACCACCTCAGAAGAGGTAAGCTAACAAAGTGTGCCGATGGACTACGGTAAGCAAATTGAGTTAGTAAACAAGGGACAGGAGCAAAATTTCATAGAAAAGTCTGTATATAATCTAGACATTATTAAAAAGCCCTCAAACTTTCTGAATGCTAATGTACCGTCCCATCCAATGCACACAGAATGCTGCTCTTCAGAAACTCGGGGAAGCAGTTTTAGTCTTGGTCTTCAGATAACAAAAACGTAAGGTTAGAACTAGATTGTTTACATAGGCTACCAAGGAGGGTATAGAAACAGTTTTCTTACAGCAGAATGGAAAAAAATAGAGACTTCCAATTTATACACCATCAGCTTCAACCAAAAACTGAGCTTTGATCTGTTCAGAAAGAGGGGAGGAAGACAGAGTTCATATTTCACAGTGAAAAATGTATTAATAGGAAGTGAACAGGTACCACTTATTTCTGCTGCCAAGAGAGGTAAATCCTTCCCTAGTAACAGTGACATTTTCTCAGCTGTCAATGTAGGATTTGCCAGCGGAATCCAAATCCGAGATTTGGTGATTGGATGCTTACATTTCTTCTGAGAAAAACAGAGTAGATCAAAGTCCAAGATAAGATGTAAACATATCAATAGTCATTTAACAAACCCAATTTTCAGCCAATGCGAACCAACAAATTTAACTGCAAAAAGCCACCATAGCAATTGCCTAATGTTAATGCAAGATGATGAGAATACCGTGCAGAGTTTTGTTTAAAAGCATGAAGGTGGCAGCTGCAAAAATCATGCAAAAATATGCAAGAATGGGTTCTCAAAGCTCATCTAAGGATTAGATTAGGGAGGCAAAGAGTAAATCACTTATAATAAGGAGTGACATTAGCTAAGATATGGCACGCCACAGAAGGCAAAGTTACAAGCCAGGGAAAGTCCATTTCAGCGTCTCAGAAAACAAGTCAAAAAAAGATTCCTAGATTAAAATAAATGGTTTGGTTTGCCTTGGTGAACCATTCCCCACAAAAACAGTCTCTGTGTTTTCTTGGTCATTATTCATAGCCTTTGAGATGGATCCACTAGAAAAGGCCACACTAAAGGGTGACTCGTCTGTGCCAGGTTAATCCTTTCTAGACACGGTATATACCCAGAAGTAACAGCTAGCAAACGGGATGCGATTTGACAGGCACTGAGTTCAGCCTACTTTCAACACTGTCCTGACACTGTCCTGAATTTAAACCTGTCACTAGGTTGGGTAGAAAACAACGTTCAAGTAATAACAAATTTAGTGGAGAAGACTGTGGTCAGACATGGGTCTGCGTGTAGCGTTGTTAAGGTGAAGCCTGACACTGGTGATGGGTGGGCTGCCGCGAGCTGACACTCTGCTTAGAAGAAAACCAAAGACAGGAACATCTACAGGTTAGAACCTGGTGGAAAGGAGCAGAGAAACTCTGTGCTTGCAGGAAGCTGATCTATGTTGGGTGATATTCATCTCACCTGGTTTTAAACCCCCATAGCGTGCGTGTGTTGTACGTTACCATTTCAGAAGTGGCTGGAAGCAGTGACATATTTAAAAGGCTTAAACCAGTAAGCAAATGTACACAAAATGCAGTATTATTAAAGCATTCTAGACTTTTGTATGCAACCTGTAGAGCACAGCCAATCCTGCACCATGCTGCATTTCTCTCCCCATCCTCTCCTCTACAGCTGGGACATGCGCTGTGCTTCCCTCACCCCAAGCACTGGCTATCGCAGTGCTGTTGCCTCTCCCCAGCAACGTGCCAGTGCAGAGCTAATGTACATAGGGTTTTGGGGAACCAGTGGCTGCAGGAGGGAGTTATGCCGAGATAGGGTGTCTCATACCCCAAAGGAAGCACAAAAAATGTTCTTCTCCATAGCGGTGAAGAAACCAGGGGAAAAAAGATCCTAACTCCTCTCTCTCTCTCATTCCCCTAAAGTCACAGCATGTAAGAGACTACCTCTTCCTCACAAATGACCCACTGGCCCCTTTTCCAAGAGATTTAATAATACTGTGACTTAAGTACTTTAATACAGCTATTAACAATGTTATGAGATTCCCCTGACATCAATCACTGCTGAAGGATGGTGACTTACTGCTGCAGAACAACACTGCAAGAACACATTCCACCAAGCATTCTCCCTTTGGGAAGACTCCGTTTCTTATAAATAGTGCTAAGCGACAGAAATAGAATTGTCAGCTGAAAAATTTAATTACTGAAGAAAGAGTCTAAGACCACCCTAAAACATCCCTGACATTCCTGAAAGGAAATAGTCTGATGTTTCCATGTTATAAATTATACATTTGTCCAATTTTGTAAACTGGGGCTAAAGAGGGTTAAAAAGCTTGAAACAACAGTGCTTCACTTGATCCAGAACCATTTCTTTTTAACCTTTTCCATGTTACTGGCAGGAAAAGTGATGTGAGGAGCTGCTGCTCTTGCTCCACAAGTAACCGCAGCTCACAGAGGGCTGCCTGCCTTTCTGCTGGTTTAAATATGGACAAACCAGGTCCCTGTGCAGTCTGTATTCATTCTGACTGCAGAGCATTGCACACAGACTTACAATAAGGCATTCTAATAAAGTGATTAGAATCACTATGGTTCATGCTATAAAGAGCTTAGATTCAGGGACACAAGTCCCTCTGCCTGTGAAAATTCATACCCTCTATTTAACAACAGCCTATCTTCCTTCATATAGCTGTTTTGAGCACAACGGTATTAGCAGTGTGGCCATTTAATAAACTATTTTGCCATACCTTCTTGGAATCAAGACACTAATATTTTATGTCGCTCATCATTTACCCATTCTTTCTATTAATTTTATAGGGAACAATTTTATAGATTTTAAGTATCAGCTCAACACTCAGGATACGCCTTTCACTTGTGTCTGCCAGCTTCAGTTCCAACTGGATATTTGCTGCACGACTTGTTCAGAGATACCCGATCTGAAGACCAACATGACTTTTCAGATTTCTGCCAAGCTGTATTATATTTTTTATGCTTTATCTTGCCCTTTATGTCCACCTTTGACAATACGCAGCTGCTGTTTCTGTGCTGTGTCCCAGTTTAGATTACATTACAATGTAATGCAATGCATAGACATCCATTCAATAAACTTACTAAAATAGAAAGCTTCTCCCTATTAAAATATTGTAAATGCATCTGTAAGAACAGTAGCTAGTTATTGAATGAGATTGGTATGACTCCCAGTAAGCTTGTCTCACTGCCTCGTTTTCTTAAAGATAATAACTGCATTACCAAAATGTCTAAGCATCTCCTTTGTAAAAGAACAACATAAATAAAAGTCCCAGTAGAGGTGAAGGAGCCAAATTTGCATCTGTACATACAGCATATATTTATCTGTACAGCTTTTGTTGTTAATGTTTTTGCTTGTTTAATGATTGATATTTTCAAAGCATTCTCTGCCTGAAGGATATTTTTTGTCAGGAACATTTAGATTTGGGGTTGAAGATTACTGTTCTATTCTTACAGTGAAATTAACTGCACTACTTCAAAGAAAGCTTTTGAAATGTTTCTTATACGTGATGGAAGTACAGATTGACAGCACAATGAACCTCTTCACTATTCTTATGATCAGCAGCTGCTACCCTATTTTTATCAACAACTTCATTACTCCAAGAAATGCTTTTGCAAAATGTGAGTGCTGCTGGTGAGATAATTCCACATGAGCAGACTTCTCCTTACGAATTTTTACAAGCAGGTTCCAAAATCTCACTTCAAGAAGAAACCAACTGCCAAGCCATCCTCCTCCAACACACAAGGCCTCCTCTTCTTTCCACTCACGCTCCAGGTAAGCAAAACCTACTCAGGTCATAGATGGGCATCTCCCAGACACCTTTATGTCATCCCTCTGAGAGCCTCAGCACCGTCCCTAAGGCCTTTGTTGGGCTTCACAACATCACGGGATGCCACTGCTGTATACAGAGCCCAAGATAAGTGCTCAGAACTGGCTTTCCCATGTCGGATGCAATTGCAGGTATCTTCACTTTCAGATCCAGATAGAAAGAATGATAACAGCGTTTTCTGACTGCAGCAAATATATAGACCAATATCACCATGTCGAGGAGGAAAGGATAGAATTTCCGAAGTGGAAGGCGGAATCTGGAGCTCTGTTACCCTCTGTGTCTCTAGAAGCATGAGCAAAGAAGACCTTAACCCAGCATTGTTACTCTGATTACTCCCATCCTTTAGGCATTCACGATCAGGACCTGCTATGCATCAGATAAGTCATTGTGTTGTATGAACTGTGGGCACAGTGCCAAATTATCCCCCAAGAAATATGAAGGAAGGATCAAAAAATACAGTGAGACTCTATTTCTTCAAGTGTAAGGAGAAGTAGGATGCTTTGGGCGCTTTCAGACTGAGCACTGGAAGCCGTGACAGAATCACAGAATCACAGAATGTTTGGGGTTGGAAGGGACCTCTGTGGGTCATCTAGTCCAACCCCCCTGCCGA